AATGGTAATAATAATAATAATATTAATAATAATAATAATATTAATAATAATAATGATAATAATAATAATAATAATGTATTACTTGTATTAGCGGCGATTAGTAGTAGTAGTAGTAGTGGCAGTAGTAGTAGTAGCAGTAGTAATGGTAGTGGTAGTGGTAGTAGTAGTAGTGGTAGTAGTAGCGGCAGAAGTAGTAGTGGTAGTAGCAGTGGCGGTAAGGATTCAAGTTTTAGATGTATTAAATAAATATGACCTAAAATATTATGCATGAGTAATCATGTTTAATCAAACAGACATCAAGAAAAATAAAAACTGCTAAATAATAATAAAAATAATAATATAATAATAATTATTATTGTTGTTATTAAGATAGTATTATGATTATTATTATTAGTAGTAGTAGTATTTAATATTTAAATTAAAATATTAAGTCTTCAAAGAGGAAGATTTCGTGCTTGCATCAAAGTGATGCTAATAAATATTATTTATTTAATAATAAGAAGAAGAAGGAGAAGTAGATGATGATGATGAAGAAGAAGAAGAGGAAGAAGAAAAAGAAGAAGAAGAAGGAGAAGAAGAAGAAGAAGAAGAAAAAAAGAAGTTTTTTTATTTGTATAGGAACATTAAAATGATGATACGATGATATGATGATAATAAATGAAATCCACACACACATTAATTAATGAAACATTTATTAGGTAAATAAATAAATACGCGCCGGTCTGAAAATTATTACGTAAGAGGAAAGATGTTTTAAATTTCAAGTTTGTGTCAGTATTTTCGTGTATATGTGTGCACGTGTATGTATGTATGTATGTATGTGTATGTGAATCTCTGTGTATTTTTATATGTGAGGGTTTAATTAAATGTTCCTTTATAAATGTATGTATGAACGTGTGTGTGTGTGTGTGTGTGTGTGTGTGTGTGTGTGTGTGTATGTGTGTGTGGTGTGTGTGTGTGTGTGTGTGTGGATAAATGTATGCGTTTGCTTGTTGCTTGTTTGTGTATGTCAAAGAAAAGAAAGGAAAAGTGTGCGTGTATGTGCCTAAAAACAGGTGGATGCGTGTATGTTGTGAATGTGTGTACAGATATGTAAACATACAGTACATAGAACTAGTTATACATACACACACACATATATACACACATGCACGCACGCACACACACACATACACACATGCACACACAGTGTAATACATAGACGTATGTACATAAACGTTCCTACAAATATTCTCAGACCAGCCCACTTCAACGGCTGAACGAATTTTCCTCTCCTAATTAAGTGGGGAAATGGATATAAAGATACGCTATCTAAAAATTATCTCCTACTCGTTTCATCTGCTATCTATAGTATCAATTATATCCATCCATATATATCCATCCACACTATTTTCACACATTTGCAAAAAATTTTAGGACATACGTGTATAACTAACATACTAACATCATACCGATACAAGGTATATATGATACATACAATATACATGATACTAACATTCTAAGATACAATGTATGATACATACATGATACTAACATCATACAGATACAATGTATACATGATACTAACAAGAAGATATCACAGCATGAAATGAGAATACTCAATGTTTGGTTTATTTATATTTATTTATATTTTATAAATTAATCATAAATATTTTTCCATTGTTTTTACAGTTTTAAATATAAAAATTACAAAATAATTTACTTATTAAAAGAACACAAGAATAAAATAATCAATTAGGTCATTTTTAATTATAGTCCATGATGACGATGACGATGATGATGATAATAATAATGATAATGATAATAATAATAATAATATTATTATTATTATTAATAATTCTTTATTATTTTGCAAAATATTGACACAAACCTGCTCATAATTTTTTATTATCTCCGTCAGCTCTATATTCCGATCATCTGATTGGAAGAAATATAATTATAATAATAATAATGAAATTAATAATTATGATATAATAATATAAATAATATTAGTAATAATAATAATAATAATAATCTGGAAAAAATCATGACGTAGTGACTAGTAGCTAGGATATTTCTGGACCGGCAAGATTGATAAAAGTCATTTGAGGACATTTCTTTCAAAGATCTCCAATGGATTGACTGGGTATTGGCGTAGTAGAAGCAGACACTATCTGCAATGAACACCACCAGCACCAGTCATCAGCATCATCACCATCATCATCACCATCACCATCACCATCATCATCATCGCCATCATCATCATCATCACTATCATTCGACACATCAATCATCACTATTATCTCTTTATGTTATACTCATTCTCAATATCATTATCGTCACCATAACCGCCACCACCAATGCCGTCGTCATCATCGTCATCATCATCACCAACGTCTATCGATCATTATCATGATCACCATCGCATATCCAGGTGATGAACTTAATATAATTCAGGAAGGTAGTAGAATTGAAAATGAGGTTAATTAAATTATGAATCGGATGTATTAAACATTCAGAG